CATCTCCAAAACCCCCATCCTCACACGTTTCTAAACCCTCAGGAAACAATACCTCTCTCGCACGCTGAAAGGCAACAACACACACTCTCAAGATACTCTACGAACCCCATAGCGCCCAAACCAACTCCCACTTTTTCAAAAACCGAAAAGAAAAATGCCACAACCAAATCTGAAACTTCTCTCAGATTCCCAAGACCTTCCCCTCACCGCTGAACTCCCAATCATATAATTAGTAATTCACAATATATGTACAATATCGTGATTTAGGTTTTGTGGTTTCCTAAATCATATTCCCCACCCTATATACTTAGACTTGTCCATTTATGGGGTTGGAAATAGCAAAATTGGCGATATTCTTGGGGAACACAACCTGCCACGCAGGTCTCACACGCGCACACGACACCATTAGGAAATAGAGCAGAAATAGAGCTAGGTTACTTTTGTAATCAGGGCAGACCACCCTGAAAAGTAGGATAACTCCTATAGCAGGGAAATAGGAAAATAAAATGTTCTAGAAAATGTAAAATACCTAAGAAAAAATCGATAATAAACTAAATGAAAAAAAAACTAAATTTTTTATTTTTAAAAACTTGTGTTACTGAAATGGCTGCTAAATTTGTTTTTAGTGACAAAATGAGGAAAAAGTTATTGCTTGATGAATATTTATATCAAAAAAAAAAAAAAACAAAGGAGACGAAAATTTTTTTTGGAAATGTGACTTTATGGTAAAATAAGGTACAATGCTCGAGTTACAACGCTTGGAAATACAGTTCCTAAAAAAACTGGAGAGCATAACCACACTTCCGATGTCAGGGATGTAGAAGAAACCCAATTTTATAATAGGGTACGTGATAACGCAAGAACTACCCAAGACGCACCACATTATGTTATCTCTACTGAATGTATTGGTCTTAGCCAGCCAACTGCAGCCACTTTACCGAAAGTTTCTAGCATAAAACGAACAATAAATAACGTTTGTAGAAAAGCAGCAGCTGTTCCAGCTTTGCCACTTCATAGACGAGATATCGCATTTCCCGCAGTATACACAATGACCCAAAATGGAGAATCCTTTTTGCTTTACGATTCTGGACCAAATGACGACAGAATACTGATTTTTAGTACGAGCAAAAATATTTCACTTTTAGCTCAAAGCAAACATTGGTACAATTATGGAACATTTAAAACAGTACCGCACTTGTTTTATTAACTGTTTACGCTACATGGCTTGAAAAAGAACATATTTGAGTTCCATTGGTGTATGTGCTGTTACCAGATAAAACAAAAAATTTATATATTCGCTTACTGCAAAAGTTAAAAGAATTAATGCCTAGTGTGTCACCAAGTACCATCCCCACAGATTTAGAAACTGGCATGATAAATGCTTTTACCGAAGAATTTTCAGCTTCAAAACATTGTTGATGCTTTTTCCATGTCTTCCAGTGTATCTTTAGAAAGATCCAAGTAGAAGGACTAAAAAACCAGTACGAAACCGATGCAGAATTTGCATTAAAACTTAAATTATTGCAAGCGTTGGCATTTGTGCCAACAATAAATATAATCGATGCTTTCGAAGCCCTTTGTGAGGAGAATATGCTACCCGAGGATGCCCATTTAATTGTTGACTAGTTCGAGGACACCTGGATTGGACGCCCGCAAAGAGGCCAACGTCGTCGCGTACCAAAATTTCCCCTTGATATGTGGAATTTCTACCAGACTGTGATAGAAGGACTGCCAAAAACAAATAATTCCATTGAAGGATATGGCATCGAGCTTTGGAGGCTCAAGTTTCTGTAGACCATCCCAATATATGGAAATTCGTAAAAGCTTTACAGCGGGAGCAAAGCGAACATGATATTCAGATATAGCACAAGTTGGAAAGGCTTTTGGTAGGTAGAGAGGGGGTAAACGTCAAACCACGTCGGACGGCTTTGAAAATTTCGCAGTAATGTTTACCTACCAGTGTCGTTTTATAGAATAAGTTATTTTAAATTGTTACCAGCAGAACTGGACAATCGCATGTATTTATGGACTATAAATAATTATTAAATATGTATTATAATATCCAAATCATAATTTTACAATATTTTAACAGCTATTCACAATTTATTAAACTATTTTACTTGAAATTGTTATTTACATCTATAAAATAATGTTGTACGCCAATGTATCGCGTCCACTTCGACTAGATCTACCGCAAACCTGTCAATTTATTTGTATAAAATGGAAGAACAGAATTTCCAACTTCTACCTCTGCTAAAGAACAAACGCAGGAGGCCTAGAAGGCCCGCCTCAACGTAAAAAGTACCGTGATTGTGCTGAACGAATATCAGCTTTTGCAAGTAAGTATGAAGAGGTGACCCTGTCTATTTACTTACGTGGTATAGCCCACAACCTTCATTACTGAGAAATGATTCATGGATAATAACTTTTTTGTATAACAAACGGTACTTTTTAGAACCACAATATACATTTGATATGGGGAATTTGGGGAAATTGAGGAATTTTCCCGTCGGAGAATGTTCCAATCGAAGAATTTTCCAGTCGGGGAATTGTTGTCGGGGAATTTTCCTAGACCCGTTTTAAATGTATAGAGAGAAATTAACTTATCTTTGATTGCTAAAAATAATAAATTACTTTTAAATTAAGAAGTCTTAAAACCAAAACTGAGGTGTTTTTATATGTTTTACAGATTGTAATTTTATGTGTTTTGTATTATTTATTTGTTTTCATTCACTTTTTTTAATATTTAATAGAAACATTCTTGTCTGACTTTGTTGATGAAAACTCTGCCATGACAAATTACTGGCTACGCCACTGATCCACAGGTAACTTGATTTTTATCAGTGAATTAAATATTCTATTAAAATTAGAAATTAAAATATCCCAAAAAGTACAAATACAACTTCATCGTCATCCATGATGAAAAACGCACTGTACTGAAAGTTACAGTGCGCTTCGATGTATCGTGTGCATTGCCAATGATGTCAGTCATTTCTAACGCACGGCACGCACAATTTGTAACACGTTAAATAGTACGTCGTCGTGTGCATTAAGAGTAAACATTTGGATCAAAACTTGCGAAATTTCAAACCAATATTTTTTACTGATAAACATAATTACCATTTTTATCTCAATTGCTTTTTTACAGCTATAATCTAAATAATGCAGTAAAAGTGGGAATAAAACGTCACATTCCATAGACGTACTTGGCAAAATAAGTTTCAATAATATAAATTAGATCACGGCATACAAAATACTATATACGCACGTCGTAGATTAAATTCTGAATGAAAAAAGTTATATTATTTCCAAAAATAAAAATAAACCTTATGCTTCTGACAAAATTGTTGCACTTTAACATTGAACGATTTAAATTTAACCAATAAAAACAAGTAAGATTGTATGTTGTTAATGGGATTAAACTCTTTTTAAAAGTAACACTTCAGTACCTAAAATTCTTTAAAAGTCACTGTCTTCACTATAACTACTGGTATCATTATCATTGTCGTTTCTGAGGTTTATTATTATAGGGTCTATTAATTTTAAATTGCTATATCCACTTTCTAAAATGAATTTTTCACCTTTTTAACATGATCAATGCATTTTCCTCAATGTTCCCCATTTATATCTGAAAATGCTTTCAAAAACAAATTTTGCACATCAGGTAATTTAAATGTTGTATTTTTTCGAGAAACAGAACCTTTTGATTGTGACCAGATCAGTTCAATGGGATTTTACTCTGCGTGGTAAGGAGGCAATCTGAGAATTTTAATTCCTTTTTCTCGGGCCATCTTGTCTATAATATATTTTTTGAATTTGTTTTTATGTTGCCTTGTTATTACGAGTAATTCTGCCTTCAAGGATATAGGAGGACTGTTAATATTTTTAGAATGAAGTTATTTTGAAATATCTTCTGTTTTCCATCTTGTTCTAGGTAATGACTCCTTTAATCTACTGTGATAATAACGGAGTTGACTGAAATTTTTTTATAATATTTTGAAACTAATTTTCAATCATACCATTTCTTCATGGTAGTCTTTTGTTTTCTTTGACTCGAAAATTAATAAACTATCTGGCAAAAATCCATCGGTGCTTCTAATGTTGGTTATTATTAAACGGTTTCCTGTTTCTGTTGAATTTTTTAGTCCACAAGAGACCCCTTCTATATAGGCTTGTTTTTAAGTTTTGATGGAGGTACCTTGCCAAATTTTTGTTCCATCTTTATAAAATACCTGTTTATGCTGATTCCTTACGTCTATTATTTTTTTTAAATTGTTTCCAAGCAATGGTTTTTTTTTTCTCTGTTAAAAAGCTGTTTCTGTCAAATTAGTTCTTATTTTTTACACTACGAGTTTACCCTTGTGGGCCCCAGTCTGGAAACCACCAATTTAGCGTCTCTCGAATTACATGAGTACCTTGAACATGTTAAAAAAATATAGAAGCTCAAGGCTTTAATATTGAAAACTATTGTGGGCAATCTTATGACAGAAGTCATTCCCTAGGAGAAGACTGTAAGTGCAAAAGGTTAAAATGTTTTGTACATGTACCGGAGTCGTCTCGAAGAAAAATAATTCAAAATTTTAATTTGCTTGGTTCAGTCAACGAACAAAATATTTATTTGTGTGGTCTTATTTCGGTTTTGCCTGTTAAACAACGCAGACCTAGACAGCATGAGGAGCACGCTGTCCTCCATGATGCTACTTTTAGCTATCGCGTAAGGTTTCAAAGTGCAGAAGAAAAGACCGAAGAGGTGGAAGTATGTCAAAAGGCATTTATAGCTATCCATGGAATTGGCCGAAAGAAGTTGGAAGTGTTACAGCGATCTTTAAAAAGTAAGGGCGAGGCATCAAAAGATCAAAGAGGTAAGCACAAAAACCGTAAACACATACTATCTGATGAAACTCGAAATGTAATCAGAAGTCATTTAAAGGTCGCAAAAGCCATTATAGCTTACATGATTCGAATAAAGTATATTTACCGGAAGAACTTAATATAAAAAAATGTACACATTGTTTTGTCAGAAGTTCCCAAATCACCCTATTTCCTATGAAACTTATAGAACTATTTTTTCAAAGGATTTTATTATAGCCTTTGGCTATCCAAGATCTGACACATGTAGTCAGTGTGATGAATATCAAGCAAAAATGAATAGTTTGGAGACTCAAAAGCTGAATTTATCGCAAACAGATACGATGGAGTATCGTCGAATAGACAGAGACATACAGCGAATATCCAACGAAAATAAGGTACATAAAATGAAGGCTGAACAATTTTATAAAAGAAAAAGAGAAGCTAAAAGAGAAAGCCAACAATCTGAAGACATGGAGGCGATTTGCTTGGATTTCGCCAAAAATCTGCCTGCCCCGAATATAACAACCAACGACGTGTATTATAAAAGGCAGCTGTCAACGTTTTCTTTTAACATTCATGTTCTTTCTACATCACAAAGTATTTTCTATGTGTATCCCGAAACTGTGGGGAAAAAAGGCAGTGATAATGTGTGCTCTTTATTGCACCACTTCTTATATAATTACCTCGACATGAAAGTACGTAAGCTTGAAATATTTTGCGACTCCTGCGGAGGACAAAATAAAAATTATACGATGATGCGTTTTTTACACTACGTGTAGTTCATGCGGAGAATAGGCTAGACAGTGTAAAAATTACATTTCCGATACGGGGGCACTCATACTTAGAGTGCGACAAGGATTTTGGTTTGATTAACCAAAAAAGTAGAGTCGAAGTTCCAGAAGAGTGGTATGAAGTGTTCAAAATGGCAAGGAACAAACCATTTCCTTTTGATGTTGAAAAAGTTACACAATCGTACTTCCAAAGTTGGACTTCCTTTTTATTAAAACGCTACCGATGTATATGCCTTTTTCCTTCTAGACCGCGCAGGGAACTAAAAATAGTCAAGGAACACCCCAGGTTGATTTTACATCGGGATAGCTACAATGGTAGTTGGCAAACCAGTGTCGTCATCGATGCCAAATTTAAGATCGTGGGAAAAAGAAACTAAAAGAAGGATAATTTCAACTTCCAGATTTCTTATGCAAAGGTAAAAAACGTTCCTCTTTTTATAGTAAGTGATTAATAAAATATTTTATGATTGTTATAGATCTTCTGCCTGTAAGTGCACTGAAATGGAAGGACCTTCAGGACCTTAAAAAGTTTTGTCATTCCTCTGTTCAAGACTACTTCAATTCATTACCACACGAGTAAAATGATAATATTGCAGGTAAAACAAACTCATTCTCTCAAGTCTGTTTAATCTTATTTGAGATACATTTTTAGATATCCTGCAATCCTGCCTATAATTGCTGAAATGAGGACAGACTTTTGATTTTTAGTACTGTAGACTCATAAAGCCATTTTATTATAAAATTACTGTTTTTTTTTTAAATAAATATTTCATGAGAAAACACCTTCTTTCCCTGTTTGATTGTGACTTTTTTGGAAAAATTGCGTATTTTTCTACTAAAAAAATTGTTAAAAAAATTAACTTTAAGTGGTATTTATAGCACAGTACCCTAATATTAATGGTGTGTAAAAATTTGTCCGATTTTATTTTTATAAATAACTTTTTAGAGCTCTTAAAACCTTTAAAAGCGTTTTTCTCAAAACTAACTTTTTTGACATATCGCCTTCTTTGCCTGTACCCTTCATTTGATAGACCCATTATTATTGGATGATTTCAAATCATTCAAATGTCAAACACAATTAGTATGTACATTTCACTCTAAAAATCTATATAAGAACCAATTAGAGGAACAAAAATATTTAAAAAAAAAGTTAATTATTAATAATTAAAAACTTCTGTAACCTCCTAGTCTAAGATCCGAAGTAAGGCCGACCTTCACTTATCTGTTTAATGGATGAAAGTTTCTTTTTATTAAATAAAATATGATAACAAATATACCGCAAATGATTTGCCTAAGAAAATACGGTCTAGACTATTTATTTTATTAAAGTAAGAAAAACGACACCCTGTAAAATATTCTTCAGATGCTTTGACTATGCCCAAATTTTAATCTGCTTACCGCAGAATGGATTAAAGCCTAATTTTAAAATTAGGTGTTTTTCTCTTAATCCGTTTTTGAGTTATCTTCAAAATTCGAAATTTGCACTTTTCCTCAAATATCTCGGATTAGGTCTATTTTAGGGGAAATCATGTATTGGAACAAAATAATAGAGAATGACATCATAAGCAACTTTTATTATGATTCCTATACTTTCCCTATCTGTATACAGGAAGGAAAGTAAAAAATGGCCCTGACCATATTTTCTTAGGCAACCTATTTGCAGTATATTTAAAAACATATTTTATTTAATAAAAAAAAACTTTTATGCATTAAACAGATGGATGAAGGTCGACCTTACTTACGGATCCTGGACTATCCATCCTAAAATTAAATTTTAACAAAAATATCAGATAAAATTATGGTTATATACATCCATTAAAAAACAATCGAAGGTAAAAAAATATAAGGCTGACATTATTATGTACAATATAGCTTTATTTTTATTAGGTACATTGTTTGATAAATCTTAAATCAGACGTAGGTTATAAAAATTAAGAATTTTTATTATTAGGAATTATTTGATATATTTAGGATTTAAAATCATAAAAATTGTATGACTTGAATTTCATGTAAGACGGATACTTTAGGAAAATAAAAATTTTTCAAATGTTTAAGTTGGTCATAATATGCCATAGTATTCAGAAGAATAAAACTACCTGGATTTTAGGGCAAAAATTTTTTTTTTAAGGTATTTTTAAACTTACCCGTGAAAAAGTTAATCTAACAAGAATCACAATAACAATAGATGATCATTGATTGATATAATTACAGTTAAAGGTTATTAAGAGATTTGGAGCATGGGATTTAAAGCTGATAAGATAAAATAAAACCTACGAAATCTGGTTTGATATGAATTTTGCAAAGATTAGAATTTTAATTTATAGGGTGTCTCTAAAAGATTGGAACATAGCTTAAATATAGACTCCTGGAATAAAAATAAGATGATTTAATATTAAAAAGATACCAATTGATTTTGTGGCTCTTGCGGTTTCAAATTCTGACTTTTTTTTGTGCCTTGTATTATGAATGTGGGAGATTGATTTTAAATGTTGCTTTTTTTGTTGAAGACACAGCATTCTATAAAAATATAATTTTCTCAAGCTTTCTATCGGATAAGTTTTATTTCTATTATATATAATTTTTAAGAAAAGTTTTTGAATAACTTTCAAATTTTTTGAGTGACACGCATACATGCCTCCCCAGCCCGAAATACCATACTGTAGGTGGGATTCAACCAGTGCATGATATAAAACTTTTAGTTCGTTAGTTTTAAGAATATTTCTCATTTTTTTAAAAGTAAATAGTATTGATCTTAATTGTTTTATGATTTTGTTTACATATATATCCCATTTGAGGTGCTGATCGATTTCAATACCGAGATAAGTCACTGATTTAACATGTTCGATAGTATACGTTACATTATCAAGAGGTATAAATAAGTATTGAAAATTTGAACAATTACTTTTGTTACACGAGAATGTTAAGAATTTAGTTTTATCTAAATTTAATGTAAGAGTCATCTCATCGAACCATCTTTTTATATTTTTTAAGTCGTGTTCAGCTAATTGCTTAACCTCGGACCAGGAATTCCCAGAAAAGATAATAAAAAGAAACTGAAAAATACTAAAAAGATACCAAAAAGATACTAAAGAGATACTAAAAAAATACAAAAAAGATATTAAAAAAATAATAAAAAGATACTAGGAAGATAATATTAAAAAGATACTAAAAATTACTAAACAGATGCTAAAAAGATGTACCGTCAAACGGGGTTAAGTGAATCATAGTGGGTAAAATGAATCACTGGACACTTTTTGGAAAATCGGCAATGTTGTCATCGAAAGCTTTAAGTTTATTCCATGTTCCCATCAGAGTGTCGCTTCAGTGTACCTTTGGACGTAGTACCGAGTGTTTTGTTGCGTTTAAGTAGACTGGTAAGTTACACGAAAAGTTTGTGGGATCAACGATTTTTTGTTTATTTATGAAATATTAAAAACGACACAGTGTAGAACTCATTGTTTTGAAATTTAATTTGTTTAAATAAAATAAATGTATTTATTAGGTAGTTAGCAATATAATATTAATATATTTCATGTCGTAATATTTGTAGTAAAGTTGTCACTTTTTTTTAATAAAAAAAAGCCGGTAAAAGGGGTAAAGTGAATCACTCATGTTTTTGTAATATTTGGGTTGCATTGTATAAATTGTTTATTTTTATTCTGTCATATAATAAAATTGTGCTGTTTTTGTATTTTTATTATTATATTTTTTTAGTTTCAGCATGCCAAGGGTGTATAAAAAAAAGTTGGGACCACGAGGAAAATGTAATTATGATCCGGTGTTGTTGTCCTGGCATTGGCAGAGGTTCGACGCGTCATGTCTATAAGAGAAGCTTTAGAACAGTTTGGCGTTCCTTTTAGCACAATTCAAAGAAGGTATCATGGAAAAAACCCTTAAAATATGGTCGGCAGACTGCACTAACTGAAGCTCAGGAAACTAGACTAAAGAAAACCCTAGTAATTTGTGCCGAGTGGGGATTTCCGTTAAAATGTACGGACGTTAGGACAATTGTGCAACAATATTTAAACGAAATTGGAATGACAGAAAAAAGATTTAAAGAGAATATGCCAGGAGTCGACTGGTTTAAAAGCTTTATGAGCAGACATAGAGACCTAACTTTTAAATTGGCAGAAAATATGAAGCGCGTTAGAGGAGCTTTAACTTATGACGTTTTTTTGCTCTAAATTGATTCATTTTACCCATAGACATTTTAAAATGAGTTTTAATACAATTTAGATGCATGATTCACTTTACCCCAAAGTAGAGGGTAAAGTGAGTCATTCTTTAACAAAAAAATTTATATATTTCTGTTTTTTCAAAAAAACATGATTTATCATTAGAACCACTCGTAATGAGTGTCACAACCTTCAATAAATTTTTGTATATTTTTAGTTTCCTTATCTTTGGAGAAAAGATAAAAAAACGTGTTTTTTTGATTCACTTAACCCCGTTTGACGGTATTAGTTTTCAAAAGACTGAAAACTGAAAATTCCATAATTATTAAAAATTATTTATTTCTCAATATAATTTTACTAAATTCGGTAAACTTTTTGGTATCATACACCTACCGGTAAAACAATCTCCTCTAAATTTTACTTTATTATCCAAAAACTTATTTGGAGTATAATTTTACATTTTTTGATATTTTCTTAATAAATTATGTACTCTTGTTGAAAGCTCATAAAGTGATTGGTTTTTGAGATGTTCCCAATCAAAGATGGATATTCTTAATTTTAATTTTTTTTTTAATTTTGTAATTTTGATTTTTTCATAAAATTGCAATGAGCAAAAACTTTTTGTGTCATCAGATACACCAATCAGCAAAAAATCTATCAAATAAACTTTGACAGTGGCGTAAGTAATACCTTTATTAAGTCTAAATTTTACATATCTCTCCTAAAACTTATT